GAGTTCGGTTCCCGGTACCGGAGAAAAACCAAAAAAATTAAAAAATAAAAAAAAATAAAAAAAAAGAACCCACACCAGAGTCTCTGTCCATAGGGTACAAGCTCCAGTAGGAGCTACAACATAGGATTTATACACAGGAAAAAAAAAAAGAATAGGAGGAGGGGAAAGATGGCAGAGTGGTAAGTAGCAGAGAAAGAACCTCTCCAAGTGTTGCCACCCTGATGCTGGAATATCTCAATGTGGGCAAGACAAGAAGGAGGGAAGTTCCCTGGACTCAGGAAGGAACTGAGGCAAGAATTGAAGCCCACGGAGAGAGGGAAGAGAGAAACGTCAATGATGAAAGAGGTACCCAACGGCGCCTTCTCCCTGAGATGGGACACATTATGTGAGAGGAGCGGTCCAAACTGGCAGACACATAGCGAGTGCTGGCGACCCTAAAGGCCTCCAAAGACAGATGCAGCCGTGGAGGGGAGCAATGGACGTGAAGGACTGCACTAGCTGCCCATGAGTGCTGAGGGCTCAGTCATTCTGTGTGAGAGAGCAACTGGCTTGGAACCCTTTGTGAGAGCGGTTGGTTGAGCTCAGAATTCAGAGCCACTGCCTGCTCCATCTAGTGGCTCCCAACTAGGCTCAGGTCCATGGAAGTTACACTGATGGCTGCAGGCTGCCAGAGGGTGCAGGCTCGCTGAGATTATTCATGACACCACCAAAAAGCTAGGGCAGGCTTGCTGGGATAAATCAACATGCAACAGGATGCTGGCTCCACACATTGTTTACAGCAGAGACAAACCTGGAAGTGACTTTTTTTCTGTCTCTCTCATTTTTTGTTATTGTTGTAGTTCTGGCTTTTTTTTTTTAAAAAAATTGTTTGCTTTCTGTTTTTTTATTCCTCCTTCATCGTTTGAACTTATATTTATGGGAGTGTGAATGGGGTCTAGCCTCTTTGTGATTGTGATCCTGTTCTGTTCTTTTTAGCTCTTCCTTCTCTCTTTCCCTCCAGTCTTCTGCACCAGTTTCCCAAAGTTCATGTGATCACCCCTTGTCCTCCAGCCTTACTTCTAATCTCTTCCTCTTCTTCCACTTCTCTATTTTCTCCCTAACCCATTTTGAATTTTAACCCCGAGGATAAAACTGACATATTAAAAACTTGTATTCTGCATACAATTTGCTAGTTTTAGATTCTGTTAGATAACTACAAATCTAGTTCATACAGTTAAAGATGGCAAATTAATGGTTACTTCAGTTTGGCATTTTCTAGGCTGTGTTTTTTGCTATTGTCATTGATACCACTGTAGCCAAAAAGTGACATAATTGTTCTAGATAGCTGTTCTTTCTGGTATTCAAGACTGACATTGACTAAGGGTCAGAGAAAATACTGTGGTACAGGCCAAAGAACTAGGGGCTGGGCCAAATAGGCAACAACTTCTCATCCCCAGAAAATTGAAGAGGTAGGACCTTACAGGAGACTCAAAAACCAAAAACCAGCTACACCTTGAAGACAACTAGCAGAAGGAGTCATTTCCTAAGGGTTCTATAAAAGCAACCCACCATGTTTGTAAAAGGCAATTTACAAACATCACCCCAGGAATTAAACTAAAAAAAAAGAAAAGAAGATGAGAAGACACTTAAACAAGATGCAACCCCAGACATCCAGTTCACCAAAGGCAAAGTCAGTGGGCAGTGAGGTGGGATAATCTAAAAATCACTCACCTGGCTTTTCTGAAGTGCTAACAACAAAGCAATTGAATGAGCCTATAGAAAAAATCAAACAAGAAATAATTTCTCAGATAACTGCAGAGATGGTGTCCACAGTGAAAATCATGCTTAGTGATTCTAGAGCAGATACAGACAAAAAAATTGAGGAGATTAAGAAAATTACAGACACCAAGAATGCTCAGCATAGAAAAGAAATAAAATCCACAAAGCATATTCAAGCAGATATCCAGAATAAAAATTCCACTGAAAGTATTCACAGCACATTAAGACAATGTGAGGACAAGATCTCATAATATAGAAGACAGGCTAGCTGTTAGTGATCATGAAAAGAAAGATTTCTTAAAAATAGCAAGGCACCATGAGAAATCAATACAGTAGGTGCTAGACAATGCATAGAAGAATAATTTAAAATTGATTGGAGTTCAAGACAAAGCAGGAGATAGCACAAATGATACTAAAAAAAACTGTCCAGAGACATCATGGCAGAAAAGTTCCCCAGTAGAGAAAAAGAAATTGACATACACATAAGTGAGGCACATAGAACTCCAATTAGCCATCATCAAAAAAAACTAAAGCCTGGCATATTATAGTCAAGATTCCAGAAATTCAACACAAGAATAGAATATTAAAAGCTGTTAGTGAAAGGAAACAAATCACCTACAAAGAAAAGCCCATCAGAATCACAGCTGATTTCTCAGCATAAACTCTTAAGGAGAGCTTGGAGTGAAGTATTTCAAGCTCTAAAGGAAAACAACCTTCAAACCAGATTGATGTACCCTGTAAAACTATCTTTCAAAATTGATGGAGAAAAAACACACTTCCATGATAAAGAATATCTAAGGAAATCTGTGACCACTTGTTATGGTTTATGTCTGTGTGTCCCCCCAATGCCTCATGCGGACATGGGGCAGGATTTTAGAGTTTGAATATGGGTATGAGAGCTGCACCCGCCCTGGAGTGGATAGTTTGCATATGTAAGGGAGAGGAAAAGGGTGCTTGAGGTGATTCCTCCCCCATTCTGCCCGGGTGTGTGCTGGCAGCTTAGCTGTGTCTGTCGCCATGAGCTGCAGCTCTCTGCCATGTTCCACTCTGCCTTATAATCTGCCAAGTACATACTGATACTTCCACGAACTGTAAGCGAAATAAACCTTTCCTTCCTTAATTTTGGGCGTCAGGTATTTTGTCCCAGCAGCGAGAAAAAAGTAACCAAGACACCACTAAACCAGCACTCCAAAACATCTTCAAGGACATTCTAGAAAGAGATAACAAGGATTACAACCCCATAAACCCCAACAGTAGGAATTTACCAGGCAAGGCAAACAAGTACACAGAGGGAGGGAAAAAAAGAAGGGTACCAACAACAGGAAAATAACATGACAAGGATAAGTCAATACATATCAGCTGTAACCATCAATGTCAATGGCCTCAATTCACCAATCAAAAAAACACACTGAGAGAATGGATCAAGAAGCATGATCCAACAATATGCTGCATACAAAAAACACATTTAATTCAAAAAGAAATTTATAGACTGAAAGTCAAATGATGGAAAACAACACTCCATGTGACAGGAAGCCAAAAAAAGCAGGAGTAGCTACTCCATTTGCAGACAAAGTGAATTTCAAGCCAAGACTGATTAAGAGAGATAAAGAAGGTCACTACATCCTTGTAAAGAGAACAATCCAAGAGGAAGAGATAACAATCATAAATACATGTGCAACAAATACCAGTGCACTCAACTATATAAAAGGAATATTAATGGGCATGAAAAATCAAATAAGCACTACTACAGTTGTACTGGGGGATTTCAACATTCCCACTGTCACAAAAAGACAGATCAACTAGACAAAGAGTCTACAATAAAATAATAGAATGGAACCAAACTTTTGAACAAATGGAAGTAGTAGATGTATACAGAGTGTTTCATCCCACAGCATCAGAATACACATTCCTCTCAGCTGCCCATGGGACATTCTCCAAAACAGACCACATACTAGCCCACAGAACATGCTTAAGTAAATGCAAAGGAACTGAAATTATCCCATGCATATTATCAGACCATAGAGCAATGAAATTGGAAATCAATGGCAAAAGAAACCACAAAAACTCCATAAACAAATGGAAATTAAATAACACCCTACTGAACAACCAATGGATCACAGTTGAAATTAAAGAAGACATTAGACAGTTTCTACAATTAAATGATAATGACAGTACAACATACCAGAACTTACGGACACAATGAAAGCAGACCTAAAAGAGAAATTTACAGCAGTGAATACCTATGTCAGGAAAACAGAGCAACCACAAATAACCAACTTAATGTTGAACCTCAAACTTCTAGAAAAAGAAGAGCAGACTAAATCAAAAACTCATACAAAGGAGGAAATTTTAAAGATCAGAGCAAAAATTAACACACTGGAGACTAAAAACAATGCAAAGAATCAATGAATCAAAGAGCTGGTTCTGTGAAAGAGTAAATAAAATCAACAGACCCTTAGCCAAGCTTATCAAAAAAAAAAAAAAAAAAAAAAGGAAAGAAAAGACTCAAATCTGTGCAATTAGGAAGGAAAAGAGTGAAGTCACAATGGACCCTGCAGAAATTCAGATGATCAGCTATACTTCAAAAATTTGTATTCTAATAATATGGAAAATGCAGAAAAAATGGACAGATTCCTAGATACATATGAATTACCAAAGCTGAATTAAGAAGATATAAAAATCTGAAGTAAACCAGTATCAGTCAATGAAATCAAAGATGTGATTAAAAACCTACCAACAAAGAAAAGCCCAGCCCCTGATGGATTCACTGCTGCATTCTACAAGAAAGTTAGAGAAGACATAATACTAATACTTCTCAAACTCTTTCATAAAATTGAAAGGGAAGCAATACTCCTAAGTTCATTCCTGGAAGCAAGCGTTACCCTGATACCAAAACTAGAGAGGGACCCAACTAAGAAAGAAAATCACACACCAATCTCCCTAATGAACATAGATGCAAAAATCCTCAATAAGATAGTGGCAAATAGAATGCAACAAATCAAGGTAAAACTCTTGAAGGTAAAACACTTCAAGGTAAAACTCTTGAAGACACTGAATATTATATCAGGAATATTATACACCATGACCAAGTAGGATTTATCCTAGAGATGCAGGGATGGTTCAACGCATGTAAATCAATAAATGTAGTATACCATTTTAACAGAGCCAGGCACAAAAATCATATAATCTCAATAGATGCAAAGTCCACCATCCACTCATCATAAAAAAAAACTACAGAAAACTGGAATAGATGGTCTTTATCTCAATCTGATAAAAACCATCTATGACAAACCAACAGCCAACATCATACTAAATGGACAAAAATTGAAAGCTTCCACTCTCACATCAGGAATAAAACAAGGATTTCCATTATCTCCACTTGTACTCACCACAGTCTTGGAAACTTTAGCCAGAGCAATTAGACAAGAAATAAAAGGAATAAAGATAGGAAAGGAAGAAGTTAAATTGTCATTATTTGCAGATGACATGATACTCTACATAGAAGACCCCAAAAACTCCACTAAAATATTGCTAGATTTAATAAGCAAATTCAGCAGCATAGCTGGATACAAAGTCAACACTCAAAAATCAACAGCCTTCCTATACATGAATAACAAACTCACTGAGAGAGAAATTAGGGAAACTACACCTTTCACAATAACATCCAAAAAAATGAAATACCTAGGGATCAATCTAAAGAAGGGTGTAAAAGACCTCTAAATTGAAAACTACAGTACTCTTTAAAAGGAGATTGAAATGGATATCAGAAAATGGAAAGATAGCCCTTGCTCTTGGGTAGGAAGAACCAATATAGTGAAAATGGCCATATTTCCAAAACTGTTATATAGATTTAATGCAATTCCTATCAAAATTCCAAAATTATATGTCACAGAATTAGAAAAAGAAATCCTAAAATTCATTTGGAACCAGAAGAGACCTAGAATAGCAAAGGTAATTCTGGGCAACAAAGGCAAGTCAGCGGGCATCACCAACCCTCACTTGAAATTATACTACAAAGCTACAGTGATAAAAACAGTGTGGTACTGGCAAAAAAAAATCCTAAAAGACAAAAAACCCAGACCCAAAGATCAATGGAATGGACTAGAAGATGCAGAAACAACTCCAGACATATTCAGCTACCTTATATTTGACAAAGGTGCCAAACGCATTCACTGGAAGAAAGACAGCTTCTTTAATAAACAGTGCTAGAAAAACTGGCTCTGCATATTCTGAAGACTAAAACTGGACCCGTATCTTTCATCATGCACTAAACTAAATTCAAAATGAATCAAAGATCTAAATATTAATATTAGAACAAAAACATTAAATCTTCTGGAAGACAGAATAGGTAAAACTTTTGAAGACACTGATGTAGGCAAAGACTTTATGAATAAAACCCTGATCATACAGGAACTATCACAAAGAGTCAACAACTGGGATCTCATCTTATTAAAAAGCTTTTGCACAGCAAAAGAAACCACCAATAGAGTGAAGAGACAACCCACAATGTGGGGAAACATGTTTGCCAGATGTTTCTCAGACAAAGGATTACTATCAAGAACATATAAAGAACTCAAAAAATATCAGACCTCCCAAATTTAAAAACTGAATCCAAAAATGGGCATCAGAGATGAATACATACTTCTCAGACGAAGAATTACAAACAGCAAATAAATATAGGAAAAATGTTCAACATCACAGGTCATTCAAGAGATGCAAACTAAAATAACACGGAGATTCTATCTCACCCTGGAAAGAATGGCTATTATTAAGAAATCAACCAATAACAAACGCTGGAGGGGCTGTGGGCAAAAAGGAACTCTTCTCCACTGTTGGTGGGAGTATAAACTGGTACAACCACTGTGGAAATCAGTGTGGAGATTCCTCAAAAATCTAGGATTAGAGGCCTTTTGACCCAGCTCCTTCCCCTCTGGGCATTTTCCCAGAATTAAAAAATCATACCACATGATATATGTGCATCCATGTATATAGCAGCATAATTTGTAAGAGCTGGATCTTGGAAACAAATGCTGATCAACAGAGGAATGGATAAAATGATGTGGTCTTTTATACAATGGGGTATTACTCAGCCATAAAGAAGTATAAACTAGAGACTTTTAAAGGTAAACGGATGCAACTTGAGACCATACTCCTAAGTGAAACAAATCATACACAAATGTGTAAACATCATATTGTCTTCCTAGTGTGAGAAGCTGAAAGAGTAAATAAGATCCAAAATGTGCAATAGATACTATTAAATGGAAAGAAACTTCAAAAGGAAAGAAACTGGTTTGGGGGAATGGAAAAAAGAAGGAAGGGAAAAGCAAAAGAAAAAAATATGTAAGATAGTTAAGATAGTTATACTAATTTCTCTTAGCTCATTGAAAAGATAGGTTTGTGCTAATATCATTTGCACAATTAAATGCTGATATCTTTTACTCTGAGTAACTAATTTAAAGATAACAATACACAATATATTAACCATTATTACTCTCCTATCATTGTTTTGGAATTTTTTTTTCTTTAAAATAAAAAAGTGAATAAAATAGGTCAAAAAGCCAAGAAATAATCTATACCCACACTGCTGAAAAACCAATTTATACAGATGAGATTCTTCTATAAAGCCACACTGAATAAGAAAATGTTTTCCTGGTTAAATAGGTGAAAAGGGGTTTTACCAGTCTCAGCTTTGGCAAAGAGCAAATTTTTACCTGGGAAATTATGAGCAAAAGTTTATTTTGTCTGCTTGTTACTTTATTTATGGTTCTCTAAAACATGTATATGGTAAAATATTGAGAAAGAATGTAAACTATGAATGTTATATTAAAGAAATAAGACTATGATTTCCCACACCCTTTTTTGTTTTTTTCTAAATAGCTTGCAAAAGTAGAATCAAGTGTTTTTTGCCTTTTCTGGAGAAGAAATTTTAGCTCATAGTATGACTAGGAGGGCAGGATGGAAGCTAACAAAAAACAAAACAATCTCTTGCCCATGTAAGGCAAAACACTCTGCCCTTACTGCTCAAAGGATGCTATAGACATAGCATAGGAATATCACTAATTTGGGTAAAAATTGTGCAGATGGCCCCATCATAAAGGCATCTCTGCCCCAAACTAAGAAAAGTCAGGAGCCAACTTGTAAAGGTATCAAAAATTGTTTTAATGATTTAACTGGGGGAAGAGGACAAAGCTCTAATTTCTTTCTTGCTTCAGCAAAGAATTCCTACGTAGACTCTTGCACCTCTGTATCTCTGTCTCTGGCCACAGTGCTCATGCCCAAGCACGGATCCAGCAACATGGCCATGGACAGTGACCTTGCTACCTAGAGACCATTTTGAGTGTGACCCTAGGTACAGGGGGGCAAAAGTTCGAGAAATGCACTTTTACCTTTTTCTAGTACAAAGATCTTCTGCAGCCATTTGGAAACATTTCTCTGCACTAAATCTACATCAATATTCTGAAGAGAACATTTCTTCCACTCTTTGAAGAGTATACTCCATTCTTCCTGTGCTTCCCAAAGTATTTTCCTCAAAGTTAAGTCATAATCAATGTCAGAGATTTCTGAAAGCATAATCTGTGTGACTTCTTCCACATTGAGAGAATGCATATGAGCCTGGGAGTCACTGAACCGATCCTGGTAGTTTGCATACATTCGAGCTTTGTTAGCCAGACTGGCCGCCTCCTCAGAGAGAGCCTGGATCATTTCCGTTGCTGTTGGCACACTGGTGCTGGTAGACAGAAGAAAAGGAGTTCTTATCTAAAAAGCAACAGTAAGATATTCTGAGAGCACAAGACTTTCAGAACTCAGCACATTTCACTGACAATTATCTTGGTGTATGGGTAATTCTTAACATGATAGGTAAATAAAGTTGGGCCTATCATTTCCACTGGTCCTAGACAAAGGCTCAAGAGGACACAGGGTATTTAGCCCTTTCCACACCTAGAGGCCCTTGCCATCTGCTGTAGTTCATGATAAAAGCTACCAGTCCTGCTGCTGATAGTGGCCTCATTCATTAAGAGATGAAAGCAGTGTTAAATTCCAACTAGAGGTTACTGACAATTGAGATGTAATTTTATTTCCTATTCAAATTCACTAATCATTAAAATTCCGTGAGTCATAAGTTAAGAATACTTGGATTCAATTATTTAGCCAAGATTCTATGGAATGTAAATATCCATATGCATAGCATTACATGTGACTCAAATCAAGTTTTTAATGAGAATAAACAAAAAATCCAAAACGCTTACTTTGGCTTTTAAATTACTAACATCCACTCGAAGATCAGTGATATATTCTTCCAAATTATCCCGAAATTTACTTATAGTGGCATCTTTATTTATTTTACTGAATTTTATAGCTGTTTTTAGTTGCTCAAACTTGATACAAAGGATTTTATAAATAGCAATTTGTTCTTCTGAAATGTTGATCTGGTAACGTCTTACAACAGAATACAACTGAGAAACTGTTAGATACTCTTTTTCTAATTCAGATATTATTGAGGAAATTTCATCCAAGAAAGTAAAGTGTTCCACAAATTCTTCCATTTTAGTGGGATCACATTCCAGCTGTCGCAATGATGATTCTACAATCTGAAATCATTAACACAATTATAATTATATAAGATTTTTCTTTATTTTAAAATTTATTTTAAATTTTTCTGACTTCTATAATTTCAGAAAAAAAATGAAGATATCATCTGGGACATAATTCTAAGTACCGAGCATCAACATGATCAAAATGTTCTATTGTTAACATAAGGTGCTTGAATATATCACATATGTAAAATAAATGCTACTAAGACATTATGTAAGTACTAAGTGTGACTAATTTTTTTCTATGACATAAATGTAGCACAAATAGTATGACCAAAATGTGAATGGTGTATAATCATGGCTACCACTTCTTCAGCACTTGTATTCTAGGTCTTTGGATATGTTAACCCACCTTGCTCAAGTAGTGCGTTTGCTAAGTAAGTGTTATTTCCTCTGCTTTGCACAGGAAGTCTCAAAGTAGTTATTTAGCCCAAGATCAGAAAGATGCTGTTATAGCACTAGGATCCAAAATCAAATCTGATTCCAAATCCCATACTTTTCCACCACATTTATATCCATTATAACATCCACCATTCTAAATTATTTTTGCAGTGCTTGAAATCAAACTAAACCTTGCACATACTAAACAAGTGCTCTATCACTGAACAATATACCTTTCCCTGTTCCATACAACTTTTGAAGTAACTGCACTGCTGCATCAAAATTAAATTTTTTGAAATTCTTTTTCATGTTGCAAAGACTTAGTAACTCATGTACATTTGGGATATAATTTTGGAATAAAAGTGAATTCAATCTTCAATCTTCACAGCCTTGAATCAGTTACTTATATTACTCTGCTATAGTTTAGATCTGGGGTGTTCCCCAAAGGCCCATGCTGTTTGGAAGGTGATTAGATTATGGGGACAATGTACTCATCTTCACTGATGAGTATGCAGTTGATTTGGGGCCTGGTTTGAGGTGGGTCACCGGGGGTGTGACCTGGAAGTATATACAGTATCTCCTTCCCCCAGTGCCTCCCTTCTCTTTCTGCTTCTTGGCCACCATGACAGCAAAACCTTTCCTTTGAGCCAGGCCCTTCCACCATGCCATCTCTGTGTTTGAGCCTGCCAATGATGGCCTGAAACAACTTCTCCACTGTCAGAGAATAACAGGTGTTAATACTCATTGAAGTTTTCTAGAGGTACCTGTATGTTTCTTTTATTAGAATTTATTTCAATAGTGTTAAAAATCAGAGATGTACTTGATTCTCAGTCCTGATATTAACTCTGTGAATCTAGGTAAATAGCTTTCCTTAAGGAAACTTGGTCTCCTCATGTGCAGGTCATCAGATGAAATAAAATCATTAAGTCCCTGGCTTGGGATGGTGCCTGGCATGTAAGCAAGTATATCTAGTGTGATCAAGATGGCAAACTGAGCAAACACAACTACCTTGTCTCCAGCCGCAACAGCTTCAGGCCTGCATCAGTGTTAGTTAGAATGGCCCCAGCAGCTGGAAACTGGCTCATACCTGTAATGCTGGCAATCTGAGAAGCTGAGGGAAGAGGATTGCAAATTTGAGCCCAGCCCGGGCAATTTAGCTACTTGACAAAGCCCTGTCTTAAAAAAAAAAGCTATGGATGTAGCTCACGCAAAGCCTCTAGTTTCAATCTCTAGAACTATAAAATAATAATAATAATAATGATAATAATAATAATAACTCCAGACAAACAAACAGAAAAAAAAAAAAACCCTAGTGATCACAGGCTTTAAGCCAACCCTTAAATAAAAATGTTCCAGGCTCATTCCAATTTAAAGATCTAGTATGTAGAACAAGCCTGTTTTGTGGAAATTGGTTTTTGAACCAATTTAAAACCCAATTAAGAGGTTCATTTACTTGGCTCCAGTGACCCAGGCACCAGGCAGGCCAGCCTAAGCACTCCAGCAGCAAGGTGTCCAGGGACCATGCCTGGAAACCTGCACAGAACATCCAGAGGTGGCAGAAGAACTCTTCCAGAGAAGACCAGTCTGCAAAGTCTGTGTCTCCACATGTCCACAAGGATTAAGAACCTTCAGGGAAACCAGACATTAGAAAAAGGACAAAATAAAGCACCTCTGAGTGATCCTAAAGAAATGGAGTGAACAAACTACCCGACAATAAAGTCAAAATAAGTGTATTAAGAAAGCACAGTGAATTTCATGAAAATACAGGGAAATAACCTAAGAAAATATAATAAAGGACAAGAATGAGAAGTTTAAGATTGAAGACAATTTTAAAAATCAAACAAATGTAATAATGATAAAATGAAAAACACAATAGAGAATATGAGTAGAACTCATCAAGCAGAAGGACTCTGAAATCCAAATAACTTGTCTTTGCAATACAAACCAGAAGTCACAGGAAAAATGAAACAAGCCAACAAAAAAGAATAAGAAAACCTACAAGATTTATGTAGCAGGACCAAAAGAGCAAATATTTGATTCACAAAGGTACAAGAAAGTGAAGAGAGATAAAGGGTAGGAAGGCTATCTATTTAAAGAGTAATAATATCAGAAAACTTTTCAAGGTTGGAGAAAAATACAAAATCCTGATATAGAAAAGTCAAAGATCTCTAATTAGATTAAAGTCAAATAATTCCACAATATATAATCAAACTGTAAAAAATTCAAAGACAAGGAGAACATCCTAAAAGCAGGAAAAGAAAAGAAAAAGTTAACATGCCAGGGACTTTCAATACAGTGAACACTGAATTTCTCAGCAGAAACATTACAGGATAGAAGACTGGGACAATATATTCCAAGCGTATCTTGGTTACTTTTCTCTCGTTGTTGAGACAAAATACCCAACACCCAAAATTAAAGAAGGAAAGGTTTATTTAGCTCACAGTTTTGGGGGGTTTCAGTCCATACTTGGCTGACTCCACAGCAGAGTGGCACATGGCAGAGGGCAACAGTTCATGGCAGCAGAAGACAGCAAAAGCAGCAAGAGCAAAAAGGGAGGAGCAAGCAGGGAGGCAGGGGCTTCTTTCCCTTCCTTATATTGTATGCAAACTGCCTGCCCCAGGGCAGGTATAGCACTCACACCCATAATCCCAGCATTGGATCATGGGTCAATCCAAAACTCTAGAAGCCCGCCCCAGGACTGCATGAGGGTTAGGGTTGACTTCCAGGCACAAACCATAACAAAATGCTAAAGGAAAAAGAACTGCTAAACAAGAATATTACATGCAGCAAAACTGTCCTTCAGAAATGAAGGAGAGCTCGAAAGTACCAGACAAAACCTAAGGAATTAAGAAGATATCAATTAATTCCCTCAGTTTTATTTTTCTGGTATTTACAGAAATGTTAAAGGGAATTCATCAGAATGATATAAAAGGACACCAATTCATCAAAACAGAAAAGTATAACATTTACTGGTAAAGTAAGCATGTAGTCAAATTCAGAATACAGTAAGTCCCCAACTTATGAGTAAGTCCCATTACTGTTCTGGGAGAACATCCTTAAGTTGGATTGATTCATAAGTCTGACAAAGTGAGTCTTATACACAAGTGACACAAATATATAATATATATTGCTTTGTGCTTCTGAGCAATATATATAATATATATTGCTTTCTGCTTTTCCTCTTGTTTCTGGACATCCTGGGCTTTGATTGAATACTGTACAGTATCACACTGTGCAGTAAGCTCACCGCAGCACAACTGTGACAACATACAGTAGATATGTGAGCTACTGCTATGATTTTCTCACATCTATGAATGTTTGTAACATGAGGTCCATTTGTATCTGCAAAAGTTCACAACTCGAATGTTCCTAAGTTGGGGACTTACTGTATTTTAATAGTGTAGTGATGGTCTATACTTCACTTATATCATTAGCATGAAGGTTAAAAAACAAAACTACTAAAATAATAATAGCTATATTTTTTTGCAGAAAATCTGCCACAATTATTTTTTAATGAATAAGGATTTTCCACAAAACAGTCTTGTTCTACATGCTAGATCTTTTAAACAGTTCAGTGACACAGTATGCTAACTACCTACACAACAGATAATATAGTAGGAAAACACTCAATCTGATGAAAAGTTAAAATCTTTAATAATACTGAAAACTGACATAACTCATGCCTTTAAAATCAAAAATACAAAAATTAAATGTTTTCCTAAAAAGATTTCCCTATTTAAAGGATTCATTTGAAAATGAAGCTGCATGTAATTTGTACAGTAAGTTGTACAAGTAAACAGGTAATATACATAAAAAATTAACTGACATACTCCTTAATTATCAGTTGTCCACCTTTAATTTCCAATACTGTACTTTCGTAACAAGCGTATAAAATATCAAACTTTTCTTTAGAAAAAGTGCCGTTCCTTAACATCCTTTACACAAAAACAGTGAGCCTGTGGCATGTTAATGCAGTTGAGAGGCAAAGCGTACTTTTACAAATTCTACCTTCCACAAAAAGCCTCATGAAAAGATTATATGCCACTATAAAAATATCCACCTCTTGTGGTAGCTGCATTCAAGAAGCAAGACTTGAAGACCATTTTCATATAGCATAGAAAACCACTATGAGAGCACATTAACTGCATTGGTGGCTTGAGAGTGTGCGGTGCTACAGGATTATGCATAGCTACTGTTAGGGACCAAGCTGTTACACAGAGTTTTAAATTGATTGTAACTGAGAGCATAACAGAGGTACATACTACCAGCCCATGTCAAGTAAAAATACTGAATCACTGTGCTAAATACTTCATTCCTGGAGAAAACCAAAGGCAACAATACCTAAATCAAGCCCAACAGGTGACTAAACTCATTCTCCTCAAAGACTGGTGAGCACAATGAAGTCTGAGGTATACCTTTATCCATTAAATCTGTGTGCCATGGCAAGATATTACGATTTGGGAATACACACCACCACAATGGTTTAAATCTTTTGAATATTATTCATATATTCTTATCTACCCAGTCTCTTGATTTTTGACAAGATTTCACCTACAGTAGAATATTACAGAAACAAAATATAAGTGCATGTCTTTCTAAATGAAACTTACATGGACTAAAAGTAGAGACTATTTTTAAACAAACATACAATATGCAGGCAGGCAAAGCAAGAAAATAGCCATTCAAACATATAATTAAAAAAAACCCTACAAATTGACTATTTCCAGAAAACTATGAAGCGCCTCAACTAAAAAGAATGCATAATGAAATTCTAATCTAATACAGGTCAAAAATTTAAAGAGGTTTTAAACAGGAAAAATTTAAAGAGGTTTTAACAGGAAAAGTAAAACAACTTTTTACTGGCCATTCCTGTTGAGATGAGAATTGTAAAGAAACAGAAAAGTGGCTACAAACCCACTTAGAGCACCAAAGAGAGAGAAAATAAAAGTCCATTTTCATCTCTGTTATTATCATAAAATCCTGTGTAACTACAGGTCAAACTGCTGGTGGCAGAAACAGAATTCTTTATAAACTGCAGATGTCCTATACATAAAAAAAATTTCACTGGAGTTGCACTAGTTCTAAAGACTTCTGTTTTAGCCTACCTACTGTATGTATGCAATCTGAGATAAAGTCTCTTTCTGTAACCCTTCATTATTATTGGACACCAAAGACAAGAAAAGCAAGACAGAGTACAAAAATGCAAAATTTCAACAGAAATGCCAATGTTTTTTTGTCTTAGTCCAAAAGGTGAAGTATTCTCTCCCTCTTCAGTGTTTTGATAAGTCTTTTAATCTGGGGGCAGCAAATCATGCAAGCAAAATCTGTCTCTGATGGGAGGTCGGACATCTTCATTCAGTTCTACAAGCTTCTCAAGAAATGGAATCAATTTTAGAAATTCATTGTCATTTTTATCCATAAACCAGGTTTCTATAAGGATTCTGTTAGAAAGCTGATACACAAAGGCTTGTGGTGAGTTGTCAATTATTATGGTTTTTGAAAGATCCCTTCCAAAGATATTTAAGTCCTTTATATAATTTCCTTGTACACAAACACAATGTTCTCGAAAAAGCCGGTGCCTGACCAGTTGCTTTTTAAGGTCTAGTATGTTTAGTAACTTGTCTGCACACACCTTCTTAGAAGCAGTAAAAAGAATGATCTCATACATCTGAGACATACACTCCAGGAATTCCCTGAAGAATGGTCTTAATCTCACATAAACCTGATATATCACATCTTGGAAAAGAACTGGAAAAGTAAGTGTTACATCTTCTAGCTCATTTAGAATACAATGCACTAGTGTTTCATCCAGATGTAAAACTAGGGAGAATTCTGGTTGCTTCTTGTTTTCAGTGGAAGAGCAGGTTTCCTATTTAGTTGTTCTTCTGTCAGTGGTGGAACATGTTTGATGAAATAATAGGGGTCAAATACTTCCCAGTCTTCTTCATAGGTGGCCTCTACATGGGTTGATGAATAACCACTCTCTGGATTTACTGGTGCTGTAAGGGGAGGGATGTCATGATTAACTGTTTCTTCTGCTTCTTCTAAACCATTATTTATCAATGGCCTCACTTGAACCACTTGATTTGAGTAAGCTGCTCCATTAGTTGATGCAGTAGTACTGGTAGTGATCTCATCTGCCTGCTCCATATCAAGTTGTTTTACTATCTCTTCAGCTTCTACTGCCTGTCCTGGAGAATCTGATCCTGATGTTCCATTTTTATTTGCTGGTGAAAAAAAGTTGAAGAGAGGAGAAAATATGGTCCGAAACAACACTGTCCTTGGAGGACTGCCAGAGGAAGGATTATCTTCTAACTTCCCATTTTGTTTTACATGTTGATTTGTCATTTCATAGCTACCAGCTTCACCATTTACTTGACCTTTCTGTCTTACTCGAAATATCTGTTTGTTAGGTTTTTCTCCTACTCTTGGTGTTGATGTGATCAAATTATTATATCACATTTAATTCTACTTCATTTCAAAGGATTTTCTCTCTCTTCCTTGGGTGTCCTTCTTCAGCGAATTTTTTAATTGAAGACAGTAAGCTGGTCTCATTCTTCGGTGGTTTTTCTCTTCGTGCAGGCAGGCCATCATCAACCTCTGAATATTTCCTTTTGCTCTGGCAGTATGTTGTATTTGGATTGGATTTGATTGCTGAGAAGCTTTTTGTGCTCTCAGCCTCATTTTTTATGGATGCACATGTAAAACTCACTATGAGTACAGAAAAGTGTCCTCAGGCTCCAGTGATGATCCCGAATGCGCCATGTGGGGTGTCCTTCCCGCTTAGCCCACAGCAGCAACAGAACCAGCTCCTTCAGCCAGTCGCCATTTCCCACCTACCGACCTGCTGCACTGCACAGGCAGGGGATAGCTATAATATTTTATTAACGGCTATTGTGAAAGATATAGTGACATTAAAATTTGAAAATGCTGGGAAGGAAGTATGTATTCTTTTGTGATCAACTTTAACTTATTGGTATAAAATAACCTGTTATGTTTGTTCTAAGCCTCAAGGTAACCACAAAAAGATTTTTTCTAGAAAATTATCTATGACCCCATCTAAGCTGTATTAGACAGTTATGTAAATATTTTCTGCTAGATTAGACTCTAGGAATGCAAGTCCACCATTATATGCCAAGGGCCTAACACAATGTCTAGCATACCATCAAGGTTTAATAAATATTTGGTATCAGAAATAAAGAATGACTAACTAGTAGCTATTATAAATTCATATGCTTAAGCATATTTGAGTACAACTGAGGATTCTTGTGTAGACATGTTTGTTATACTAGGACCCATAATCATCTGAGAAACTTAGATGTGTGATAGGCATGAATAATCAATGAAGGAGGCTATTTTTGAGTGCTCCTGGATTTTCATACTTTCAAAGCTCTAGAGTCTCCACAGTTCCAAATTGTTTTTAGAGATAATCTGTCCTCCAAAAATCTTTCCTTAAAAAAGCCCTAATACACAGTGAATCCTCAGTATGCATTTGTATTGGGAGATTTATCTGAAATACTCCATAACTTGACACAGTTTACTGTCTAGTGGATAAAAACAACAAATGATATCACACCAGGGAGTGATGCATGTTATAATGACAAAACAGGGAAAAAAGATATGTGGAAGTGATACGAAATACAATTTTAGATACTGTGGTCAGAGAAAGTTTTTTTGAGGAAGTGATATAAAAACAAAAAAGACAAACAAATGTAACAACATTATACTGGCATTTCCCTAGGATAATATTTATGTATATTTTTGAGTGCATATGTTAAAATTATAATCTAACGTTAAATGTTCTTATGTAAGAGGAATTTTCAAAGTACTTACTTCCAGTAGGCTTGTATTTTTTTCCTGAGTTATAGATTCCAAGAGATCCTGGCTCATACGTATGATGTTATCAACATATGGTAAGCATTCTGACTGATAATCAGAACTCTTCACATTGAAAATGCCAATGCGTTTCTCAATAGCCATAGTCACAATATGTCCAAAGTATTTTTTGAATTTATACAGTATAATATTAAACTGTGCTGAACTTAATTCTCCCATAGATGATATATTCATGCTTATGGTTTTGGCCTTCTCTACCATGGTACAATACTTTAGAAACTTGCAGCTGTAACTATTAACAAGGCTCATCGAATTGCCAATAACAGTCAGGAGACTTACAATCTGCAAATAAAAATATTAGAAAATTTGGAAGAATGAAAAAAGTATGGCCTAATATGCTGATAGTTTCTATTAAGATAAAGTAATAGTCTTATGTGGCATTCATTTTGTTCAGAACCTCTATTAAATACCAAATATGTTGGAAACATAAGATTGTAAAAAAATTAATGATTTTCTGATCCTTGGCTTTTAAATCCTACTGGGCTCTTTAAATTTGTAATTAATGTGCTATTTTGAACCATATCCTATAGAAACCAATTATTTATTTTTCCTTATTTCTCACCCTGTGTACACTGTCCTAAGCAAGGGTAGTTCCATATAGTTGGCTTCTACACATGGCCCTAGGGAAGGCCAGTCCCACATACTCTGTGATCTCATCCAGTTTCCAACACAACTAATTTAGATAGGTTTAAACCCTGACCCAAGCTGAGCCAATTAGGTTCTCTTGTGAATTTGGACAAAAATATCCATAGTAATGGAGGAGTTGGGGATGGCAAGTCAATATACTGACAACCCTAAAAGAGAAAGTTGATTATATGGAAGTTGGAGAAAATGCACTGTGGTGAGCAGGGATGACCTATTATGGAGAAGACAAATGGAGAGGTAACCTAAAAATGATTCTCCCATTACCGTGAATTGTGATACTCCTAATTGTTTAATAAAGCCCTTTCATGCAAGAATTTCTGCTCCTTAAACCAAATGGGTTTCTGCTCCTTAAACCAAACATTTCCTAAGACATACTTTTAAAAAACTTACTTTATTTTGGTAGGCAGGATCCATTTCAAAAAGGATCTGACAATCTGGCCATCTAGTCTGCTTCTTATATTTTATTATACTTCCTATATTATTAGATAAATCCATGACTGGAACAGAACCAATAAAGACAGACAGGCGAGGATCTTGGTGAAGGGGAGTAATTGTAGCTAAAATACATAATTCAAAAGTTAGTATTTGCAGAAGTACTATTGAAAGCAATACTTTAATGGTATCTATGACATCGAGAAGTATTGAAGACCAAGGCTGATTTATTAGGAGGGTTAGACAATATTCCATACTGATAGATGGAATTTAAAGATAAGTTTAAAACTTTGGATTTAACATTAGAAATAGAAGAGCAATTCATAAATAACTAGACAGTGGTGGAAAGAGTCATTCAGCTAACCATTACTTGCAATGTATCTGCTATGTGGAAATGTATTACTATACAAACACAAATATTAGAAGACACAGAATTATTATTAAGGAATTCTTAGTCTAGCTAGAAAATTAGATGTCCATAAGCAAAAGAAAAACATCTTGACCTACACTTAGTACCTTATACAAAAATTAAGTCAAAGTGAACCCTACACCTAAATATAAAACATTTTACAGAAGACCTATGAGTCTTCTTGGATAAAATCATTGTGGACACTCAGGCAGAGTTTTTAGATACAAAGCAAAAATACAATCCATAGAAGAAAACTGGTGAGGTATCAAAGTTAAGTGGGTGAGCTCCATGACAGAGAATGAGATGATAAAGCCCAGGCCAGGAGAAAATGTTTGCAAGTCATATATCTGATAGAGGACTTGATCCAGACATCTCTCACAACACAGTACAAAGGAGACTATCATTCCAATTTTTAAAAAATAGGTGAAGCAAGTCTAATGACACATTTGACCAAAGAAGATGGCAAATTAGGATAAGAAAAGGTACTAGTGAAATACAAATTACCACAGTGAGATATCACTACATACCTAGTAGAATGCTTAAAATTAAAAAGAAAATATGACCCCAAGTTCTGTCAAGGATGTGTAGAAACTAGATTGCTCTGTTGCTGACAGAGATGCAAAATACTCTACCACTTTGCAAAACCAGTGTAGCGAGTTTCATAAAATTAAACATATACCTACCACTTGATCCAAAATTCTCACCCCTAACAAATCAGATCTAAATGGAAAGGCAATCTGTGGTACACCCAGAAAATAAAATAAAACTCAACAATAAAAGGAGAGTTTCAATTCACATAAAAACATGGATTAAATGTATATGCATTTTTCTAAGTGAAAGAAGCCAGATTCAAAGGCTAAATACCCATTTATATGACACTGTGGAAAAAAGAAAATAAAAGGAACAGAACACAGATCAATGGCTGCCGGAGGTGAAGGCACAACCATGCAAGGAGTGTGCAGGGGATTTAGGAGTGACAGCTATCTTGTTTGAAACTGTGATGGCAAATACATTAACTCTGCATTTTTCAAAACTCATAAAATCACATACACAAAGAGTAGGTTTTATTGTATAAAATTTTTAAAAAATCAGCATGTTGGAAGAACCCACAGTGGAATACAGGTTTTCACAAATTTATCTGACTGTGTTACCAATGAATTAATCACCTCACTGAAGATGGTGGGAAAGAAAGTTGACCCATGTAACTTTGGAAAACAGTACTTGGAATGGAAACTGCAAGGTTGGAAAAAAACTACTGTACCCAAACTGTACTTTAGATAAAATGGAGCTTCTCACAGACACTGAAACAGCAATACAGTGCTTGAGTCACTTTTCAGGCATAACAAGTAACGATCATGTTGATTATATGCACCAGATTTCTCCAGTTAAAAGGAGCTGCAGAAAGGAGAGCCTGGAATGAACCTTGAGGTGCAGGACTCAGGTCAGGTCTATCAGTATGAACAGTATTACAACAAAAGAGAAAGATGGGTGAAATTTTCAGTGGAAACAAGATCTTTGTAATCTGTTCAAATTTATTAATTATGAGGGAAAATACAGTAGCTTTATAGTGGTGGAACCTAGTACACACCACCTTAATCAAGTGGCCACAGTTAGCACGTCAGCATCCTATACACCTGAGATGATTCATTCAGAAGATCACATCCATGCGGTATTCTGCAAAAACACACCTCAAATTTATCAGAAGGTAACAACAGATTGTGCTATATCGATGGACAGTCTATAGAGTAAATTATCAGTTCTCTTTAAAGTCTCAAGATGATGAAAGGCAAGGGAAGAGTGAGGAACTGACAGACTAGAAAAGACTCAGGAGATGTAACTACTAAAGGCAACGTGTGATCCTGGACTGGATCCTGGGAACACAAACCAGGCATTAGTAAAACAGCCAAGAAAATCCAAATGAAAACCTTCATACTGTCCTACTAATGTTAATCCTTTACGGTTTTTTTATTATTTATTTATTCATTCATTTATTTATTTATTTATTTATTATTTCAGACAGGGTCTCACTATGTAGTGCAGGCTGGCCTTGAACTCATTTATGTAGACCAGGCTGTCCTCAAACTCAAAGCAGTCCTCCTGTCTCAGCCTCCCAAGTGCTGGGATTACAGGTGTGAGGCACCACACCCCGTTTAATACTTTAGTTTTGATAATTAATTATGGTTAGACTAAACATGTGAAGAGCATACAAGAATTCTGTATTATATTTACAACTTTAAAATTATAACAAAAACCTTTAGAAAATCAAAGGGTAAAAATATTTCATGACAGAGAAATGGAAATCATCAGATGTTCCAATACAGGAAATTTTAAGAGAAAAAAGAACACAGGGAGAGACTAATAAAAAGATTAGCTCTTAAAACTGGAAAGTTGCATTGAATTTTTAAGAAGATTAGTATAGAATAATACACATCATTTTTTTTTTTTTTTTTTTTTGTACCGGGAATCAAACTCAGGACCTTGCACTTGCCAGGCAGGTGCTTGTGCTGCTGAGCTATATCCCCGGCCGAGAATGATACACATCTAACTTTACTGTAGTAAATGGTTAACTCCAAGTGATAACTTACTGGGCAGAAGTAACAAGTTTACCCAAAGAAAAGCAAAGCTGACTTCTCCCTGTGAGTACTGAGAGCAGTGGAACAAATCTATAGACAAATCTGAGGAGAACAGGGAGGGGAGTATCTGAACAAGAGGCCACAGCAGTCTATCATGTCTATAAGGGTATAACATTGTAAGATCCAGCATCTCTGGATCTTAGCAGGAGATCCTTATCTAGCTGATGCACAAATAGACCATGCAAGAATGAGAACTTAGTGGTACTTCTTGATGTGTATGTTTCATCTTAATACAGTGCAAACTTTAAGTATGAGATTTCAAGTGACATGGTTGCATTTCAGCTAGTTTTTGAGACAAAAGCGTTTTAACAGGTACTGATAGTTACAAAGCATAGTGAACAGGACCAAACTGCTGGAGCTTGTAGAGAAGAAATCAAGTACGAGATTTGGGGCTAAACTGGAACAAGGGCCCTTTGAATTCAGCAAACTGTGGTCCTATGACTGAAGAACAAGGCAACATTTAAGGAACATCCAGGGGTCCTATTGTTTTAAAATTTTTGTAAAAGTTACTGAGAGAAAGGAATACATTCTTAGGTCAGGCTAGTAGTTGTCATACAATTTTAGATTGTGTACATACAGCTGGAAAAAATTATTTTAAAATCTACCTATGGTGGGGAAAATACCTTTGTTATGCTGTGATATGAGATACTATGTATTTGTTTTAATGTCATAAAATTCTGTAATGCATAATTGCAAAATTTCAAGCAGTTTTCTTAATTTTTATCTTATATACACTCTATGGCTATGTGTATAATTCACACATCATCACATAATTCCAGATTAACATTTTATTTTGATACTGGGAACTGAACTCAGGACCTTGCACTTGCCAGGCAGGCACTATGACACTGAGCTATATTCCCGGTCCCCAAATTAACATTTCTTGATCACAAACACAGAATTTAGGTTCTCCTAATAATCTACATCTGACACAGTTTTGGGTAAAAGTATCAGATGCTCATTGCACTTTACTTTTAAAATACTTACTTATATGCTTTTCAATATTTTCTACCATATTTTGAATTTTTATTGAAAACTCCAATCTGTTTGGATCCATAAAGAGATTTGTAGGGAATTCTGAATATCTAAGAGAAAAAATAAAGTATATTTCAGGAGAGTGTAGTAACTAACAAAATACAATTATTACTTGTAAGGAAAAAATGTTTCATACTTATCGTACATGTTTACATTCTCAAACTCAGTTGTGATTTCTGTGTCTATTTGAATCAATTGAAAGAGAAAGTTAAAAATTGATTAGTATTCATAACAGCTAAATTACAATGTCATATATGTTAGCGCTTTTCAAATACCTAAACTACAGAGGTCGTCAGAAAAGTACTATTTAATGAGTATACCCTGGCACCCAGATTTGAGAAAGAAGGTCTGAGATGGAATCCGAGAGTCTATTTGTTTTTTGTTTTGTGTTGTGTTTGCAGAACCTTCTGTAGTATGCCAGACAAGTGCTGTACCAATGAGCCATACATGCTGCTTAAGAGACAGCATTTTTAGCAAACATTCTGGATGGTATTCCTTAGGTCCCTCTTAATGACAGAGTATATGTATTGCGATGATCATTAAGAATGGTGATTCTATTCATTTGTGCCACAAGTGATCTCTAAGTTCCTTCCTCACTTTTAGCATGGTTTATCTTAAACTTTATAATAATAATAATATATAAATTGAAAGTATACAAATTATTATAACTTCCACTCCTTATTTTCCAGCTGTTATTTTCTTTTTTGTTTTGTTTTGTTTTTTCTGGTACAAGGAATTGAACTCATGACCTTGCGCTTGCCAGGCAGGTGCTGTGCCACTGAGCTAAATCCCCAGCTCCTCCCTTCATTTTTAAAAAAAAAATTTTGAAGATAAAAGAACAAGAACATACTAGCAAACACACATACATTTACAAACTAACACAAGAACAGTACAAGCAATACGGAATTTCAGACAAAGTGATAGGAAATTAAAAGTGGCTATTGTATTACATACATATTGATATCCCCAAATTGGTTACTCAGGTAAACAAATATGGACATGTAAGACTGATCAAACAACTAAACATTAACTGTCCCTTTCAATAGAGCAATAGAAGTCAGTAGTACAACTATGTTAGCTATCTTTTGTGTACATATATAATTTTCCCCTTCTTTCTTTTCTCTTTTCCCTCATCCCAGTCGTTCCTTAGTTTTGAGCAATTTCCTTTCATTTCACATTATCTATCATACCTAATTTTTATTCACTCTTTCAGGTTTTTACACTAGTGAGACAATATGGTGTTTACACATGTGGGTCTGATTTATTTCACTTAGGAGTATGGTCTCTTGTGTCCATTTACCTATAAAAGCCTCGTTTATCTTTCTTTATACCTGAGTAATATTCCATTGTATAAAAATGCATCTTTTTTATCCATTCCTCACTTGATGGGCATTTGGGTTACTTCCACAATTTAGCTATTACAAATTGTACTGCTATAAACATGAGTGCACATATATTGCTGTGATATGATGTTTTCAGTTCTTCTGGAAAATACCCAGAAGGGAAATAGCTGGATTGAATGGAACCTCTGGTCCTAGTTTGCTGAGGAATCTCCAAACTGATTTCCACAGTGATTTTACCAGTCTGCATTCCCACCAGCAGTGGAGAAGTGCTCCTATTTCTCCACAGCCTCACCAGCATTTGTTATTGGTTGATTTCTTTTTTTATTTTAAAATTAAAAGGAGGAAAACATTAACAGACAACCTTTTACAAAATAGCAAAAGAACAGCATAGACAATACAGAGTTACAAACAAAGTGGTAGGAAATTAACAATGCTTGCTGCATTACATATTGGTATCTTCAAAGTGGTTTCTCATGAAAACAGAGACATGCAATATTGATCAATCAAGGGCTCATTAACAGTTTCTTTCTACTGTCTTCTATTTCTTTCCTCCCTTCACTTTTTAATGGTCTCATTTGTCTTACCTGAAAGAATATCTTCAAGGTTTAAAATGAAATTTTTTGGTTTCTTGGCTTTGGGGAGTTCATATAAGCAACCTTTTTCAGGACTATTTTCTGACATTTTATCTTCACATGTCACACATTTTTCAGGATCCTGCTCAGGCTCATAAAAATTCTCTTCAAAATTTTCTGAAGAATCACTCTCAGAAGGAATTCTCAAGCGTAGATTTACTTCAAATATTGGTGCATATGATTTTCTCAAATTCTTCCCCACTTTAATCTTATTTAAAATCTAATTTAACAGATATGTTAGTGTGCCAATAACAATATATAATAGAATTCTTAATTAAGGGTAATAAACTTTAAATGGTAAATTATAACTATACTTACATGTTAAAATCAGCAAGTTAAATGCAAAATAAATGTCAAAAATTTGAGATAGGTGTTACTGTAGCTTTTTACAAAGGAAGTATGGGGGGGGGAGAAACTGTACTTATCATAAATCATAGTTTTAACTCCAAAAATTATTATTTGCCTACATAAATAATCTACATTTTCACAAAATATCTTACCTCATTAAAATCAATGTCTGTTTTTACTTCTGACTTTTGAATAGAAAAAGCACTTGTATTTGAGTTATTGAGTTCTTCATAATCACTTATCATATTTTCACTGAAAAAAAAGTCATCCTTGTGTGTTCTAGATTAAGAAATGGGAATAAAAAACAATCTTCTTAAAACCATATCTCTCATTAATCTTAAAATATGGTACAGTACTTCTATAATTCAACAACAACAAATACCCAGGTTAGAAATACATGAAGGATTGGACTGGACATTTCTCCAAAGATATACAAACAGTTAATAAGCACAAGATAAGATCCTTAACATCACTAACCATTCGGGGCAAACAAATCAAAACCACAATGGGATATCATTTCATTTCCACTAGGATGATTATTACTAAAAATAAAGAAAATAATGTTGGCAAAGATTATAAGCCTAGTACACTTCTGGTACAAGTTAAAATGATGCAGTCATTGTGGAGTAGGATGTAGGGATGTAGTAGGGAAGTTCCTTAAAGTTGCATGTGGAATTACCATGTGATGCAGCAACTGTGTTTCTAGGTATATTATCCAAGAACTGAAAATGGAACCCAACCAGATACTTACAAACCAGTGTTTGCAACAGCATTATTCATAATAGCCAAAAGATGAAAATAACCCAAATGTTCACTAACAAATGAACAAATATAACGTGCAGATTACCTGCAAGTAGAATATTATTTAATCTTAAACAAGAATGAAATTCTGATACATGCTTAAACATGAATGAACCTTGAAGATATCATGCTAAGTGAAATAAGCCAGACATAAAAAAGCAACTATTGTGTGATTTCACTTATATGAGCTAAATGGAATAGATAAATTCAGATACAAAAAGTATAGTACCATGGCTGGAGGTAGGGGATACGATGGAGTTACTGTTAATAGAGAGCTTCAGTTTAAGAAAAACATTTTGGAAGTGGATAGTAGTGATGGTTGCATGACACTGTGAAAGTAATTAATGCCAGTGAATTGTACACTCATATTTAAACAATGAATAAAAGTAGAAAGTCGCAGTACTCTGTAAGTCTTGAAGGAGAGAATAGAAAAGCACAGCATTTTATTGGAAAGCATTTTATAGAAATACTGTTCTAATCATGTGGTTAAGAAGATGGAGAAACCATAAACAAACTAAAACCGGTAACTCACTTGAGAGGGACTGCTGGGAGTGAAGAGACAAATCATTCTATGGTCAAACCTTCCTGAACATGTTCAGTCTGATCAAAAGACAAAAATCACCAAAAATGGGAAAATAGAGAAAGGGAAACAGAAAAACTAATAATAAAGTAAAATAAATAAAAAGTACAAAAGAAAAGCAAGGCATAATAGTATGTTAGTTTTTAATGAAATACAAACAACTATGAGACAGAAACTATCCGGTTCACTTAAAAATCAAAATCAAATCATGTTTTGCAGGATATATTCATCAAGACTGGCATTTATTCTTGTATGTCAGACTTCTGGGACTTTGACTGTGATGTGTCATGGAGAGGGTCTTTTCTGATCTTGGCTATTTGGGGTTCTATATGTCTCACTTAACCTGTGTTAAGTTCTTTTCCCATATTTGGAAAGTTTTCTGATATTATTTCTATAAACGGGTATGCTGTCTTCTGATTTTTCACTGATTCCAAATAATCTTAGTCTTGCACCATCTAGCAGCTGTTGGACCCATTTTTCATATTCTCTTGTTGTTCTTAAGGTTTTACTCATTAATTGGTCACTGACCACAGCCCTGTCTGCTGTCCTCACATTGGTCATTTCTGTCGCCCATACTTTTGATAGAATTTTTAATTACCTAAATTTCTGTTTGGTACCTTTTTGTGGATTCTAATTCTTTTCTGTGCTGCTCATTCATGTTTATATGTTTTGTTTAGTTCACTTAGGTTTTTATTTGTGTTTTCTGTAGACTCACCGATTTTTTTGTTTATTAGGCCTATTACCTGTTTCGTTTTATCTTCTATGATATTGCCAAGAACCTTATTAATCTGTTTTGTTATCTCCTTTGTTATCCTTCTGAATAATTCAGCTGTGTGGCTTTTGTTTTCCTCCCCTGAGATGCTCCAGGGATCACTTTGGGGGAGTAGGGAGTTTTTGGAGGCATTTTGTTGCTTTTTCTTCTCATGTTTCTGTCTGTCTGTTTTTTGTGCTGAGGTTGGTGGAATACAGTTGAAAGCTTTGTTTTGAATATGGAGACCTCTTTGGTTAATATCTACTTTTCAGCATTGCCTGTCCCTGGGAACAGTTTAACTGCTGGCCTTTGCCACTGTCCCAGGATCCAACCACCTCCCTCCATTTGGGAGGAGAAGTTGCAATATATTTGGCCTAGTACCCAGTTTTCCAGAAATAGACCACAGTATTATTCATGACAATAGTGACACTAAGGTAATCCAGATATTGGCATTCAATGAAAACCAATAATAGCAACAACTCTGTCACCTTTGCTAAACTAATAATATTAACAAAAATAATAGCATCAAAAATTTTAAGAACCAATAATGTGCTACCCTTAACCACAGAAAAGAGATCTGTAACTATTGTATAAACACTAAGACTAACCAAATGTTGACCTACAGTAACTATCTACTAAATAGAAATTGACCCCCACTAAAACTAAAACAGTATTCAAGAGTAATAGCATAGTGTTAACCACTTATCAGTCTAGTTATTTAAATACAGGATGACCAAAAATTGGATTTTTTCCATTAATTTTTATAACAAGAAATATAAAAACTATAATTTAGTCAAATTTATTCAATAATTTTTTGTGTATGGTATATCTTAGAACATTAAATACACAATGTAATACTCAAAAATAGGCACTATAACTCGTAAACATAATTAAGATCAGTAAATTCTGGGATGATCATGCATGCTAACAGCCCCCAAGATGACTTAGCACGCTGTCTATCACTCAGTCAGTCACACCTGGCGATTCAGTGGGAGGTACCTAAAGCAGAGACGTCTGCCCTCTAAATTCTAAAAGCCTCAGTTATTGGCCTCCCCTTTTTTGTTGCTATTGCTACTTTGACCTTTGTGCAATGCTTTTCTGTCACCCTGGCACATTTCTTTGTCTGTGTTACACCTTTGTTCACATGATCTTCAATAAACACTGCTACTTACTACTTACTACTGGATATATGCTTGGCAATTCTCTCCTCACACAAGAACTTGGACTATTATTGGCCCATTCAACTGTAATATCCCCAGGCATTGTCCTTGTCCAGGATTAGGTTGGTCAGTTACACTACACCTCTGCTGCCCCATGCCAAGGGGAATCAAAACAAAGCTGGCTTGGAGTTGGTGGATGGTCGTACCATGGGCTGGCAGCCTGGCACTGTGTCATTCCCATCACAGGATGAAGGCCTGGGACTGTACTGTCCCCAGTTGTTTTCTTTTAGGGCTGGAAAAACTTCACACCAAGCTCTCCTGGCTTTGAGGTTTGGTGTTGAGAAATATGCTATTATTCTGTTTCTTGCCTTTATAAGTTACTTGGTATTTTCTCCAATAGCTTTTAGTATTCTTTCTTTGTGCTGAATTTTTGGGATTTTGACTATGTGTCATGGTGAAGTTTATTTCTGACTGGCTATTTGTGGTTTTGTATGCCTTTTACCTGGACACTGAATTCTTTTCCTCAATTGGAAACGTTTGTGTTACAATTTTGGTGAATATATTTTTTATAACTTGGGTGTTATGTTCTAATCTTTCCTTAAAGCCTACAATTCCAAGGGGTTATTTTGTTTTCTGTTTTGGGGGTTTTTAAAATTCATTATCCAGTAGCTGTTGAATCTAGCTTCCATAGTGTTTTACTATTTCAGGTTATCACTCAGTGCATGATCCCCAAACAGCCTTGTTTTGTAGTTCTGACATTCTCTCCTAACAATGATCACTCCTGTTGCCCATACTTTCAATGAATTTTTAAAGTCCTGGATTTCTGCTTGGATTCATAATCTCTAATTCTTTATTAACATGGTCACTCATATCTGGTGTTGTACTGGTTAATTCAATCCGCCTTTTGTCCATGTCTTCTTTAAGTTTGGTGAATATCTTCTTCTTTAAATCCTTGGTCTGTTTATTTACGTCCCCTTGAGCAATGCCATTAGACACATAAAAGACAAAATCACAAGAGACACTGCCACTGTAGAGAGGATTAGAAGAAACTACTTTGTAAACTTATATTCCAATAAATCAGAAAATCAGGAAGAAATAGATAAATTCCTAAACACATATGAATTACCACAACTGAGCCAAGAAGATATAAAAACCTTGAACAGATCAATAAGAAGCAATGAAATAGAGACAGTAATAAAAATCCTGCCAATTAATATAAGTCTGGAACCCAATGCAGTCATTGCTGAATTTTACCAGACCTTCAGAGAAGAACTATGGTTATTAATCTTTTAATTCTTCCATGAAACTGAAACTGAAGGAACACTGCTAAACTTATTCTTTGAATCTAGCATTACCCTGATACCAGAACTAGAAAAGGACTTAACAATAAAAGAAAACTACAATTTCTTTGATGAACACAGATGCAAAAATCCTCAAAAGATTCACAAATAGAATGCAACAAGTCATTAAAAAGATTGTACATCATGATCAAGCTGGCTTCACCCTAGAGGTGCAAGGATGGTTCAACATATGTAAATCAATCAATGTAATATACCACATAAACAGAAGTAAGGATAGAAACACATGATCATCGCTACAGACACATAAAAAGGCTTTGACAAATCCAACATTCCTTCATGATAAAACCATAATGAAAAGGTGTATAAAATAGCATTACCTCAAACTGATAAAAGCCATTTATGGCAAACCCACTTTCAACACCATAATAAATGAGTAAAAAGTGAAAGCTTTCCCTCTAAAATCAGGAACAAGACAAGAATGCCAGCTCTCACCATTCCTGTTCAATATAGTACTTGAAACTTTAGCCAAAGCAATCAAGGAAGAGAAACAAAAGGGATTTTAGCAAGAAGGGAAGAACTCAAACTATCTCTTTGCAGATGACAAGATTCTTTATATAAGTTCCAAAATCTGCACCAGAAAACTCTTAGAACGAATAGACAAATTCATCAAAATGTCAGGATACAAAATAAGCACACAAAAATCAATAGTGCTCCTGTACACCAACAATGAACCCACTGAGAAAGAAAGCAGGAAAACAGTTCCACTCACAATAGGTTAAAAAATATTAAAGACCTAGGAGTCAACCTAATGAAGGAGTTGAAGGGGTTCTATAATGAAAATTTACAGAACTCTGAATAAAAAAACTGAAGAGGACATTAGAAAATAGGAAGACATCCCTTGTTGTTAGATGAGAAAAATTATTATCATGAAAAGTGGCAATATTACCAGAACCAATCTATAAATTCAATGCAACCCTTGTGAAAGTACCTACAACATTCTTCACATAATTAGAAAAACAATCTTAGAATTCATATGGAATCAGAAAGGATCCAGAATAGGTAAAATATTCCTAAGCAAAACCAAAAACAAAACGAAAACACTGTAGGCATCACAATACAGTAGTACCTCGGTTCATGAACATTTTGCAGACAATTTGGTTTGCAAAGAGAAGTATCTAGCAAAATTTTGTTTCTGTTTGTGAACTCTGCATCAGGTGACAAACAGGACCACAGCCATCTTTCCTGCATGAATACAAATGTGGCCAGTTTTTCCAGAATTGTGGAATGAAGTAAATTCATGAACTGAGGTAGTATTGTAGTTATACTACAAATCACATAATACTACAAATCTATAGTAACAAAACATGTTACTGGCACAAAAACAGACATGTAGACCATTTTTTTTTTAATTTTAAAGAGTAAAAGAAGGATAACATAATAATAAGGGGGGCTTACCAAATTAGACACAAAGTGGTAGGAAATTATCAATGGTTATTGTTTTACATATTGTTATCTACAAGATAGTTTCTCAGGAAAACAAATACACAAATAATAGTGAGTTACAGACAAAAGAGGTAAGAGATTATCAATAGTTGTTGTACTATACTTTGGTATCTTCAAAGTGGCTTCTAAAGAAAATAAATAGAGCTATACATGAGTGACCAATTGAATAATCATTCACTATTCTCAATGGTTGTTCTAGGAAACATAATAATAAACATACATCCATTTATGGAATAGGATAGGAACAATACAAACATTACAGAGTTATGGATAGATTAGTAGGAAAATATCAGTGGCTGTTGTAATACATGGTGGTATCTTCAAAGTGGTTTCTCAGGAAGACAGAGATACGCAAGAAGGATCTAACAAGTAGTTACAGCCTAAGGGTTGTCAAAAATCAAGTAAGCTGTCTGGGGTGAAAGCCATTTTTTGTAGCATTTTCTCTCCAGCCTCCCATCACATTGGGACCCCACAACCAGTTAGTGTCCTCTCCCCAGCTGTCAGCACAGGCAGCAGGAATCCTGCTGCAGACTTCTCCGGAGCTCCACCACAGCCTGTACTGTCAGGGGAAGAATGGCTTCCAGGGAGTCTCTGCAGGTATTGTGCAAGGTCTTCCTGGTTTACAGCTTCTGAGTTGCTCTCATGACCCCAGTCCACAGGACCTCTGACTCCTCGGACTTAGTCTGCATTCTCATGTTCTCCAAGTCCTTGTTCAGCAGCTGCTCCTCCGCTGGCTCTGGACCTTTCTGGTTCTCAATGGCAGGAGCAAGAGTGGCCCATTGTATGGCATGTATTCCCAGGGTTTTTTCCATGTTTGAATGATTCACACATGTCCATGGGTGGGCATCTGCAGCCGGTGCATGGTGGGCCAATTGTGTCATTGTTTCTCTGTGTCATGGTGGTTCTCAATTGAGCGGCGGTGGTAGGCCTGAGGGCCAGTGTGCAACAGTGCTCGCCGCCACATAGCTCCCCCTGCACCGGGGGCCCTCCTTCTGGGGGCCTACGAGGCAGGGAGTGAGCTGGTCCGAAGACCAGCGCTCCCTACCCGTGGCTCATGTAGACCAATTTAATAGAAAAGAAGATACAGGAACAATACCATGTACTTACAGTCATCTTGGCAAAGAACCAAAAACACACTTTGGAGAATACACTTGCAAAATGTTGAAACTAGATCCCTAAGTCTTGCCCTGTACTAAAATAAAGTCAAGATAAATCAAAGCTCTAGATATAAAAACAGAAATTTTGAAACTGCTGGAAGACACTTTGCACAGACTAAGATTTCCCTGAAGAGAACTCCAATAGCACAAACAAAAACAGCATGAGCAATCTTCCATTCTTACATCTGGTAATCTGAGCAATGTAGTTGAGGACAGTGATATGTGATGTAACAACCACTGCTGATACGTATTATTTTGTCTTGAGACCCTGTATCACTTTGAATGTTCTTGCTTTGCTTTGTTTATGTTCGTGATACTAGTATACTGCTACTGTTCTATTTTTTTTTTGTTTCTCATTTACTACTCTCTTTAAAATAAAATTTTAAAAAAGCTTTTCCACATCAAAGGAACAATAAGAAGAGTGAAGAGATAACCTACAGAACAGAAGAAAAATCTCTGTTAGCTACTCTTCTGATAAAAAAGTAAGAAGAATTAAAAAATATTACCTAGCTTCAAACACCAAATGACTCAGTCAAAAATGGGCAAATGAACTGAACAGATACTTCTCAAAAGAAGTAAAATGTCCAATAATATATTTTTTAAATGTTCAACACCTTTGGCCATTAGGGAAATATAAATCAAAACTACACTGAGATTCCATCTCACCCCAGCCAGAGTGACCATCATCAAAAACACAGATGACAGTGAATTCTGGCAAAGATGCAGGAAGAAGAGAATCCTGCTACATTGGTTGTAAGACTGTAAACTAGTGAAACCACTATGGGAATCATTAGAAATTTCTCAAAAAATTAAAAATAGAAATCCTGTTTGACCCACCTCTACCACTCTTTGGTATATTCCCAGAAAAATTAAATATATCATACTATAGTGGTGCATGCATAGCCTTTTTATAGCAGAATGATTCACAGCAGTTAAGCTCTGGAAAGAACCTAGATGCCCTCCAACAGAAAAATGGATACAGAAAATGTACACAAAAATGTAATATATATGTATAGAAATGTTTTATAGGTATGAGTACTATTCATCCATAAAGAAGAATAAAATCATGTCATTTGCAGTGAAATGTACAGAATTGAGGACCACTATCTTAAGCTAAATAAGCCAGACTCAGAAAGCTAAATATCCACTGTGTTCTCTTGTATGAGGAAGCTAAAATATAAATTAGTAAAAAAATAAATAAATAAGATAGAAAACAAGAAGGTGGATTCTTGGAGATAGAGGGATCAAGGGAATTTGGAAGGAAAAAAAAGGGTAACAATAGAAAATGATCAAGATATTTTATATGTAAGTAGCAATTTTCCAAATGAACATCACTATAATGCCTATCAGGCATTTATTTTGTGTTTATTCTCAATGTCATGATGTAGGTGTCATTGTTTTCTCCATTTTATAGATGAGGAAAACTGAAGTATAAAAATTTACTTCACTTCTGTAAGTTAACAGCTACTCAAAGACACACAACAAGCCAGAGACAAAACAGAGATCCACATTTGGAATCATCTGAACCACAACCTATACACTTCAAGATACCAAGAAAAAAATACACAGAAGACATGATATGTCTAAAAATGAGCTGCAAAATAGTACACAAGGATTATGACACTAGGGAAAGGTATCAGAAATGTCTATGAGAAATTATACAAAAATGATAGGACACTGCATTTGAGTGACGCAATCAAGGGTGATTTTTGTTTTCCAAATTTTCTCTGAGAAGAATTAACTCTGTCAATATTTCCAATATCTTTTTAAAGATATATTTAGAACACACATTATAATGTGCTGTTCCTAAATGGTTGTGTTACTGCATAGGCTGAAATCCCAGCACTGGCTCAAACCAGCTATGAGGCCTAAGATAAGTGGTGTAAGCTTTGCAGATCAATAATAATTACACAAAAAGAATAGATTATTTTTAAAATGCTTTCAAATTTTTATGAAATTATGTATTTTCAGCAATAGTTGTGATATTGAAACTCTGATTTGACTAAAATGATACTGTCAAATTTTTTAGTTTGGACATAAAGTATTCCACCATTTCAATTAACATTTTCTGTCTGTTTCACAAGTTACAGTAGATAGATCCCATTGTAGAAAATAAAAATGTATTGTTTTTAACAATAGTATCTAAATAGAAGGTTGAAAAATTATTTTTGAATAATTGCTTCAGTACAGGAAATATTCAATGGATAGTTCTTGTAATTGACTCAAATTCCAATCAGTCTTCATGGCTCCTTGCAGGATCTTCCTCACATACCTATCTGTAAGAATAGCTTGGAGCTTGAAAGATACTGTACACCTCTACTTAGGGTTGCCAGGGTTAGCAAATAACAATACAGGATACCCAGTGATAGTTGAATTTCAGATACCTCCCAAATAATTTTAGTATAGGTGATTCTTGGGACATATTTATGTACAAAAATCACTCATTGTCTATCTGAAATTCAAATTCAGTGAACACCTTGTATTTTACATGGTAACCAGATCTATGCAGAATTGTGAGGAAAAAATTGGGAAATTTTCTTAAATTTTATGGACAATATTAAAGTACTACCGAATAATAAGTTCACTTAATTGCAAAAATGAATACAAATACTCTGCTACAAGAAGGACTACTGGATATTTCCTCCACAAGTAGCAATACATTATGAAATTATGATCATAAACTTCTCTTAGTAGTCAAAAAGGGTGATTTACCTGATCAGATTTTCATTCTTTTTTTCCATTGAAAATGGCATGTTAGCAGAACCATTGAATAATTCCAAAAGTAGTGTGACTGCAGTGTTCATTAGCTGACGGATGAGTTCTTGAAATATGTAGTCAACTAGCATGAGAAACCTGGAAATTGTTTCCAACAAACACCGATATTTAGGCAGTTTGAAATGTGTTTTCTCATTTTCAGGCAGCTTTGACTCAAAATACTCTTTAACATCTTTCTTTTCCGCAACCTAGTTTAAGAAGTAATGGTGGAACATGCGGATTGCTCGTGTTAGTACAGTATTGTTATAGCCTGAGCTTAAACTTTATCAAAACTTTCATTAAAATTTTACTTCATGTTTATACTGTATTCAAACATTAGACCAAAAGAGAGAAATTTATGTGTCCTGAAGCTTATGAAGTTTGGTGTCTCACAAGCAGGTAAGTTTAGAAGCCAAACAAGAAAGATGATACTACTAAGTATCTATGTGTTCCTACATAGAAGGACCTTCTCCAATAGCAGATAAGGTAAGAATGTTTGAGAACAATGTTCATTATCTTAGTGAATCTTCTTCATAAACTCTTTGTGAAGTTTTGTTTCACTTAGTTATATTTCTCCTGAGCAGTGGGCTTTCCTTTATCTTATAAACACCCTGAACTTTGCAATTGACCACATTTCCCCCTACATGCCAGTTCAAATTAGTTTTTTAGGATCTTGAACTTGTGTATATATAAATATGCATATTTATGTGCTCCTACATATATATATGTAGATATATACCCTGTATATATATTCTTTGTATTTTGTGTTGCAACTAGAGAAGTTCCTGCACATAGTAAATAGATAGTCCTAGGAAGTTTGTTAGTTAGCCACCTTTGTCTTCTGCTCCCCATTTCCAACACTTATTTCCAGACATAAAATCTGAAGCAATTCTTCAGTTAATATATAGCAACCAAGAGAATATAATTCAAGAATTACCTTTAAAAGTGTACTTTTTATCTTTGAAATTGCTTTATCCCTGATATCCTCAAGCTGCTTTAATGCCTGAGTAGCTTGCTGTAACTGTTCTTCACAAAATTCATCTAGGGAATATGTTCGAAATCTATCCAGCTAATTAAATGATAGCAAATTCTGAGTGTTGGAAAGCAAAGCTCATAAACAACAACAACAAAGACAGAAGATATTTATGCAACTTTTCAAGTCATAAAGAAGAACATGGTATATAATTTCCGCTTTATGTGCTTTACACTTTATGTTCTATATGCCTTTATATATTCTTCAAATTTAAATACCATAGTTAAATCTAAATATTGGTTAAAAAACCAGAAAAAATACAATAGTATTTTAAGTCATGGCAGATTATCTGAAACAGAAAAATTTTAAAGTTAAGGTGTTTTTCAATATCTATGAACTTGGAGAACTCGCCGAAATCATTTTTACTTTTCAATTCCCAATTATTTGTCAAAAACAAGATATTAAGTGCAGGATAAAGAGGTTAAAATTAAATAATAGAAATAAGGCAAATTTTAGTTGGCATTTTACCAAATACCAGCAAGGGGAAATTTCCGCCAGCTATTCTATCCATTCCTGTCTGGTCCTGCATGCATGCCATCCTTCCTCCTCAGAACATTTTCTTATTTTTCCTACACTGTTTCTTGCCACAGTATATTTTCATCAATAAACATGCAGACCACTTTATCCCCAGATGCACTGTAACTATCAATAAATCTGTGCTCAAACTCTAAGCAAACAGAGTAAAGAGCGTTATTCTGACCTTGGCATTTGGCTTTACTCTTGGATCTCTCCCTCTTCTGGTCCCACATCTCATCACCAGGTCCTCAGTGTTTCAGCAAGCAAAGTCTCAGAAATCTCCTTTCATTTCTGTCCTCACTGCTACGGTCCTAGTTGAAGGCCTTATTCTCATGTTGGTTATTTTAGTAGTACACGAATTCTTTAGCCCTAGTATCTTTCCACTTAAGAGTTTTTCAATGAATCAGCATCACAGTAGTTTTCCTCAAATACCATGCTTAGAAACTTTCAGCAGCTGTTTTGAGGAGCAATTCTCAGGACTTTCCTGACCTAAGAATCATAGGAGAGACTTGCTAATCCTGTAGACTACCAGCACCACTTACTGCCTTCTCCAGGGAAAAGGATGGGACACAAATATCTACAATTTCACCAAGACCCAAAATACTTCCTAGTAAAACCAACTGTTTACTCTTTGAAGAAGAGACATTATCTATTTGGCCTCATTCTGTGTGCATGCTTGAGTGATGGCCTCTCCAGAACTCAGTTCAGACACCGGCAGGTGAGGGTGTAGTCTGATGGCAACATGTGTGTTGAGGTAGGGCCTTCAGGAGCTTCCATTCTCACATTTACAGCTTAGCTACCTCCTCCTTGGCTCCTCATGGCCAGTCTTCCTCACAGTGTGCACCCTGGGGATGCAAGCCTTCTAGGACCAGCTCTGAACTGGGAATCTGCTGCCCTCCAGCTGAGCCTGCTCCCTGCCCGCTGCCAGTCACAGAGGCTCCTGGTCTTGCACACTGCTATCCTCACAGCCCCACAGGAGTGCCCAACACCTTGGGGAGGAGCCCATCCCATTTCCCCTTATTCTATTATTCTTGGCCTGCCAGTGATGATCCAACCTGCCTTCTAATCAAACTTATTGAATAGCTTATTCACATTTAAATTCCTTACTTCTTTTGTCAAAGTCAGGATCCCAAATAAAGAGAAGCCTTGCTTTCTCTGAATTTCTGCAGCATGGCTACAGTTTTAATAGTGATACTGACAGGAAACACTCCTTGGCTTGTATTTTCCTAATTCATTAGCTAGAATGATTACCAAAGCAAGGAACTACCTCTAGGATTTACCATTTTTAGACATAAAGAATTATTTTTTCTGATACAAGCAGATTGACAATAGAAGGTTTTTTATTCATTTTCTTCACACAATAATTTGCATATAATAGACAATCAACAAATAATTATATATTGGCTGACAAAGTTTATTCTCTTCCTCTTAATGTACTGGGCCAAAAGTTTCTAGTATAGTCCTAACATCTGTTCTCTGTCACTGTTGACATTTCATCCATCAGCAGCTGAGAAACAGACACAGAGACTTTCTAAAATTTCCTTTGTCTTCCCATTCATTAAGTTAAGGGATGCATACATCTTGTCGGCCTCTAATAAAACAATCTAATATGACAGCTCCCCAACTTGTTTATTTCTACATGAAAAGCATATCAAAAGTACTCCTCAGTGACTTAAGTTGAGTTCATTCTTTTGAAATATTAACAGTCTCAATATAGCTATATAAAATAATATTAATAGTCTCAATATAGCTATACTTTGTCTACAGTGGCTAATTCACCTTCCTTCATTAGGTTTTATTTATCTACTCAAAGAATACTGAACAATCATTATACTTAATGGATTCTAAAAATAAGATGTTAATTTACAATGTTGCTCTTAATTGCATGTGAGCTCTGTCAAATTTATAACTTGTCTAAGCCCCTTTCTATTTCTAAATCTAAGTGATTTCATCAATCTTAATTTTCAATGTCTCTCTCCCAGTCAGTGAAATAAAATCAGCTGGAATCTGTTTCAACTGTACACTAAACACTTAAGATTAGTTTTTCCTTCTAAAAACTTATTACATACAAATTTAACTAAATCATTCAATGAAGATGATCACCTTTTCTACAAAGCTGAAAAAGAAAAATTCATAAATTTAACAAAAATCTGAGTTTCAACTTATAGTAAGTCTTGACATGCAACACTGAGAAAAGAATAGCTGGTAACTATTAATAATGTACTAGAGATAATTATTTATAAATAACATTACGTATTTAGAGACACACTTGAAAATAATCTCATAGAATTAGGTCAAATAGAAATTCTTTCTAAGGAATATTGCAAACGATTAAGATTGACTTCTGAGGAAATCACATTCTGAGTAGCAATTTCAAAACACCAAAAGGAGAATTCCAAAGGAATTCTCCTGTGAATCCAGAAGTCTATACTTCTTTGTTCTAACAGATTTCTACATGCTAGCATTAGCTTGTAGAAGGTAACCCCACCTACCTTCACAAGAAATATAGCAGAGGAATTATCCACATGTTCATTATAACTACTGATATTAACAGCATCTTCACAGAGTCCTCTTATATAAAGCAAACAGGATTGAAATAACTCATCAGCCCAAAAGAGATGATCATATAAAAATGACCTGAAAGTTAAACATTTCCACATGTTTGTATCTCATTAAAAAATTTTAAAAAGGAATTCAGAGCTATCTAGCGTAGTTTAGTTCATATGCCTGTAATTAATATGTATTGCATTGGGCACAAATTGAATGATAACGATGCTTACATTTAGCTGATAATGTTGTAGGCAAGACTAGGCACTAGCTGTGTTGAGTGTGGATAGCAAAGTGATATTTTTCCATTACAATGCTGAATCCTAATTTAAAATATCAAGGAGTATTATCTAAAAGGGGGCATATATCCTCAATGTATTAAACTTATTAAATCTAACTGAATTTCTTCAATTTACCTCTAATTACAGGAAAAAGTCACTTGCATAAGTGACCATTTGGAGACAGGGTCTGAAATTTTCCAACCACCTAGAAGTTAAAATGGAAAAAAGATAGGCCCTTTTCTTTTCTCTGTCCTTTCTGCTAATTTAACCATGGTCATAAAGATAAGACATGCCACTGTTAACAACAATGGGAAATCACAGAAAGGAAGAACCAGAGGACAAAAGAACAGGCAGAAGAGAAGGGAGAACTGGAGAATTTGACCAAGTAAAGCAAAATGTAAGTCATATATCTCCATCTCAAGCATACAGGGCATGTTGGTGAGATGAGTTCCAGAGGGTTTAGGTGGCCCCACCCCTACAGCCTTGCTGCTTTCATCCCATATGGTCTCTCTCTTGGACTGTCTATGGTGGAGGAAAGCTGCTCAACACACAGAATCTGGGAAATAGAGAGCAGTGGAAGATGCCAAAGAGGAAGAGGCCAGTGGCACCTCATTCATGAACTTGATTATTTCCAAGATTCTGGTCACAAACTGAGTGGGATGAGAACCAAATCAAATTCAATGGTTAGGTTCAATGTTGACCTTATAGGGAAATTTGATTGGGTTCTTGTCCAATTCAGTTCCAGCCAGAATTGTAGAGAGAAATGAGTTTGGGAACAGAAGTTCCCTAAGCAAGAGCTTGGAGCAAAGTATTTCAAGTCCTGAAAGAAAACAACTTTCAACCCAGACTGATGTACAAAACTATCACCAAAATTGTCTTTAAGAATTAATAGAGAAATAAGATACTTCCATGACAAAGGACAACTAAAGAAATTCATGACCACCAAGCCAGCTCTACAAAGTGTTCTGAAAGATATTCTAGAAAGATAACAAAGAGTACAATTCCAAGAACACTGACAGAAAGAAGCCACCAGGCAGGGTAAGAAAAAGAAGAAATACAAGGAACCAATACCAGGAAAAGAATATGACAAGGATAACCCAATGCATATCAGTTATAACCATTAAGGTAAATGGTCTCAATTCACCAATCAAAAGAACAGTCTGGCAGAATGGATCAAGAAACAAGATCTAATAATATGCTGCATGCAAGAAACACATTTAACTCAAAAAGAAATTTATAGACTGAAAGTCAAAGGATGGAAAACAATACTCCATGTGACAGAAAGCCAACAAAAACAGGAGTAGTTATTCAATTTGCAGACATGTGAACTTGAAGCCAAGACTGATCAAAAGCGTTAAGTAAGTTCACTACATTATTGGTCAGAGAAAAGTCCAAGAAGATATATGCACCAAATAGAAGCACCCAACTATATAAAAGCAATATTAATGTACATGAAAAATCTAATAAGCATTAACACAGTTGTAATGGGGGAACTTAACAATCCCTGTTACAAATAGATATATCAAGTAGATAAGAAAATCAAAGAAATATCAAAACTGAATCAAATCTGTAAACAAATGGATTTGGAAGATGTCTAAATGTCTTAGTGTTCCACCCTACAACATCAGAATACACATTCTTCTCAGCTGTGTATGAAACATTCTCCAAAATAGACCACATACTAGCTCATAGAACATGCTTAAGTAAATGCAAAGGAACTGAAATTATCCCATGCATATTATCAGACCATAGTGCAATAAAATTGGAAATCAATGGTAAAAGATGCCACAAAAACTCCACAAACACATGGAAATTAAGTAACACCCTACTGAACGAACAACCAATGGGTCACAAATGAAATTAAATAAGACATTAAGACAGTCTCTACAATTAAATGATAATGACAATACAACATACCAAAACTTATGAGACACAATGAAAGCAGACCTAAGAGGGAAATATACAACAGTGAATACCTATGTCAAGAAAATAAATCAAGCACAAATAACCAACTTAATGTTGAACTTCAAACTTCTAGAAAAAGAGTAGACTAAGCAAAAAGTTCATATGAGGGAGGAAATTATAAAGATCAGAGCAGAAATTAACACATTGGAGACTAAAAAAAGATACAAAGAACCCATAAATCAAAGAGCTGCTTCTTTGAAAGATTGAATAAAATCGACAAACCCTTAGCCACACTTATCAAAATGAAGGAATTGAATAAAATTGAAGGATTTTAATTTAAAAATGAAGGATTGAATAAAATCGACAAACCCTTAGCCACACTTATCAAAATGAAGAAAAGACTAATATTAATACAATTAGGAATGAAAAAGGTGAAATCACAATAGATCCTGCAGAAATATAGAAGGTCATGAACACCTAATTCAAGAGCCTTTCTTCTAATAAGATGGAAAACACATAACAAACGGACAGATTCCTAGATACATACAAATTACCAAAGCTGAATCAAGAAGGTATAAAAATTCTAAATATCCCAGGATCAGTCAATGAAATTGAAAATGTAATTAAAAACCTACCAACAAATGAAAGCCCAGGTCCTGATGAATTCACTGATGAATTCTACAAGAAATTTAGAGAAGATCTAATGCTGTTATTCCTCAAACTCTTTCATGAAACTGAAAGTGAAGCAGTACTCCCAGACTCATTCCTGGCAGCAATATTACCTGATATCAAAACCAGAGAAGGATCCAACTAAGAAAGAGAACTACAGGCCAATTTTCCTAATGAACATAAATGCAAAAATCCTCAATAAGATAATGGCAAACACAATGCAGCAAGTCATCAAGAGGATTATACACTATGACCAAGTATGATTCATCCCAGGGATGCAGGGATGATTTAACATATGCAAATCAACAAATGTAATACACCATATCAAGAGCCAAAGACAAAAATCATAAAATCATCTCAATAGATGTAGAAAAATCATTGGACAAAACCCAATACCCATTCATGATAAAATCTTACAGAAAATTGGAACAGATGGTCTTTATCTCAATCTGATAAAAGCTATCTATGACAAACCAATAGCCAACATACTAAATAGTCAAAAATTGAAAGCTTTCACTGTATCAGGAAAAGGACAAGGGTGTGCACTATCACCACTCTTATTCAATATAGTTCTGGAAACATTAGCCAGAGCATAAGACAAGAGAAAGAAATAAAAGGAATAAAGATAGGAAAGGAAGAAGTTAAATTATTATTATCTGCAGATGACATGATATTCTACACAGAAGATCCCCAAAAAGCCAGGAAAAGACTTCTGGATTTGATAACCACATTCAGTAGTGTAGCTGGATACAAAGTCAGTACTCAAAAATCAGTAGTACTCCTGTACACAAGCAACAAACTCATTGAGACAGAAATTAGGAAAATAACATCTTTCACAATAGCATCTAAAAAACCCCTTAGAATCAACCTAACACAGGAAGTAAAAGATCTCTACATTGAAAACTACAGTACTCTGAAAAAGGAGATCAAAGAGGATATCAGAAAATGGAAAGACACCCCTGGCTCTTGGGTAAGAACTAACATAGTGAAAATGGCCATACTCCAAAAATTGCTCTGCAGATTTAATACAATCAAAATACCATAAGTATACCTTACAGAACTACAGAAAACATTCATAAAGTTCATTTGGAATCAAAAGAGACCTAGAATATAAAAAACAATTCTAGGCAACAAAGGCAAGGCAGGAGGCATCACAATCCTTGACTTCAAACTATACTACAGAGCTACTGTGTTAAAAACAGCATGATACTGGCAAAAAAAAAAAAACAAACAAAAAACAAAACAGACCTGAGTATCAGTGGAACAGATTATAAGATGCAGAAACAACTTCAAATACACTCAGCCATCTTATCTTTGACAAAGGGCCAAACATATGCACTGGAAGAAAGACAGCCTCTTTAATAAATGATGCTGTGTTGGGGACCAGGGGATATGAAATTTTACTACGCTGGGGACCAGCGTACACGGATGAGGCCAGTATGATCCTGCTTTAAGAACAGAAGTATGCTGAAGGCTGTTATATTTCCTGGCTGCACAGAGAAGGTTCACATCTGCAGTACTCTTAAGGCAAGATAACATCTGCTGAGGACAATGTGAAGGACACATGCATCTGTAGCAGAGGGAAGAACTTGTTTTCTACTAACTTTTCCCTGTCTACCTCAGTCAAACTCCACCACCTGTTCTCCCATACTCATCACTTGCTAATAAAAGTGGGCCAACCACTGATATGGGTGTGTCTATTCCCAAGACACAGGTTCCTCCCAGCCCCTTTGTACCTTGAATATTGTCTTTTGTCTTTCTTTATTCTCCATCACCCCCTGCACCCGGGTATCCAGGAGTCTGATCAGCCCCTGGAAATTGGTGCCAATCAGAGAACATGAGACTTGGAGGGGAAGGCCCACCAGAGAGGGAAGTAATGATGTAGATGTTGGGGGATTCTGTGGGACAATTTTAGAGTTGGATGAATAGAAGTGAAAGAAAGTAGCAGCGCTGCAGAAAAACTTTTCTAAGTGGAATAATGAGGCAGAATTTGTCAGGAAGGGAACAAGGATATGTGCAGTTGTTGTGCATATTGTTGAAACGGGCAGGGGCTCAAGTCAGTACCAATTCCCTTTCAAAAACGTTGCAAGATATTATGAAGTATAACTCATGGTTTCCCCAAGCAAGAAATTTGGACATGGAGAATTGGGATAGAGTGGCAAAAATTTGAGAAGGCCCCATACTAGTGGAGAAGAGATTGCCCCATACACACTTTTAATGTAGAGTTGGGTGAAA